CCCTCTCTTAAGAACAGAAAATGTTTCAAATTTTGTAGTTTTCAGTGTCCAAGTCTTTCATCGTCTTGCCATAGTAATCGTTACATATTTTATATTTTTTATATACAGTGCAACATTTTGTCTCTCATGCTTGGGGTACGTTATCAGGAGGACCCTGTTCCTGGAGAAGGACATTATGCAGGGTTAAGGGTTAAGTAGAAGGTCAGTGAAAAAGAGAAAGAGCCTCCAGATGGACTGAGATTAGTGGGTGGATGGAGGGGAGAAAGAATGGGAAAGGTTCAATGGGGACCTGAAAAGATGGGGTAATAATGGCCTTAGATCAATGGTAATTCATGCTATAAAATATATTGCATATGAATGATTGTAAAGCAAATGCACATGAATGAAACACAATGTAAAAGAAAGATTGTATCCAACACAATATGTATGCACAAAGCACAATGTACATGAATGATTGCATGAAAACCAATAAGAGTAGGAGGAGAAGGAAAAAAAGGAAGATGGACTGACCGCACAGTGGCTGCACCAACAGGCTCAAACAGCAGGAATTTTGCAGGACCGGCAGGGCTTCTGCCGTCCACAGGATTCCCAGGCTTGGAGCCTCTGCCCGGCACCACCAACACAACTGGAACTATCCTCTTCATGTCGCCGTCTGATTGCTCACTGAGATGTGCAGATATCTCACTGTCTCTGTATGCTGCTCCTGCTATGCTCAGGTCACCAGACTCTTAAAGCCGGCAGACACTTGTACAACACCTGTGTGTCTGTCTTCACTAGGGACACACAGCACTCTTTATTGTTGTTGATTGCCTTCGAGTCGAGCATGATTCACAGCGACCCTATGAACAAAAGGCCTGAAGCCCTTTACAACTATTGACATTTATCAAAGTTCATAGAATTTCCAGAGGCAGGTTATTTAGGAAGTAGATGCCACTCCTGCTTCCAAACCTGTCATAGTCTGTTATTGTTGTTACGTACGGTTGAGTCGCCTGTGATGCATTGTGATCCTATGTACAGCAGCTCTGAAACCTTCCATGTCCTGAGCTAGTGTCACTAATTCCGACACACCAACCCCCGTGCTTAGTTTTCTTTTACATAACAGAATCCCACTGGATCCATCCTTGTTTATTTCCACTGCACATTGTTTTGTAGAGGGATTCGTGTAGTAGGTGCACTGAGGGCCATGGGGAAGTGCTGGTTCTGTGATGAACGCTCACCTTCCACGTGGTAGGTGCAGGTTTGGTTCCGGTCACCTCATGCGGAGGCACCACCCTCCATCTCCGGGGGCGGGCGTGGTGCTAGTGCCGAGCGCGTTTCAGATGAGCTTCTAGACTAAGAAGAGCAAGCAAGGCCTGGAGATCCATTAACAAGCACCCAGTGAAAACTCCACGTGGACAACAGCAGTCTGATGTCCATCCCATGAGGACAGTGACTCAGGTGTGGGCAGTGTTTTGTCCAACAGTGTGTGAGGTCACCGTGAACTGGGGTCAACCTGATGGCAACTGACAACAACCATGCATGGTGTGACCAACACAGTTCATCCATTTCCCTCTGATGGACTTTTCGCTCGTTTTCTGTTCATCGTTACCGCTGTACACACGGGGCAGACCCTTAGACACACCTCCTCACACAGCAGCGGCTCTTGGGAGTGGTGCTCATGGACAAGTGGGGGTGCACCTTCCATACTCTCTCCTTAAAAGGTTCATCAGTGAGCCTGTCCCCAGCAATGCCCCTCTCCTCATCTTCAATGGCAGCATTACGACCTTCCGGAACAGGAATGAGCGAGACGTGAGAGTTGGTGTGAACATGATCCCAGGTAAGAACTCGGCCAGGGAAGCTCCTGGTGAAGGCACAGGAGCTGCTGCAGCGTCAGAAGAGAGAGAACTTTCACTCTCAGGTCCCCAGCGCCTCCCTGGCTTCCATCCGCAGAGTCCAAACCCATCCACACGTCTTGAGCTCCACCGGCCTGCTAGTCCCTGGGCTGGCCCACACCCAAGTCCTTCAGTTCTAACCCAAGACGCACGTCCAGCAAGAAGCCTTACAGGCAGGTCCCCTCAGACGGCATGCTCTTCAGACGAGGCTGTGGTTTACACGCCCTCACTCCTGGTGGAGTCAACCATAGCCTGGACAGTCCCTTCTTTCCTTTCTCACGTCCTTGGGTCCATTTCGCCTGGTGGGGTCCTTGGATGGTGCAAACGGTGAACACATTCAACTGCTCACTCAAGCACTGGGGGGTCAAGTTCACTCAGAGGACCCTTGCATGAAAGAGCCGGCTGGGTGGGGGGGTCTACTTCCAAAAAAACCAATCACTGTGCACCCACACCACAGCTCTACTCTGGCACAGGAGGGGTGGTCAAGAGATGGATGGACGGACCAGACAATAATCAGCTTTTGCTTTGCCCAACACCTGGTGGTCTTCTGCGTGCAACCCAGAAAGTAGGCTGATGGTCAGTCATGTGGTTAGCCGGCGCTGAACTGGTTCTGATGCACAGTGACCGTACGTACGACAGGATGAAATCCTGCCCGGTCCTGTGCCGTTCTCACAACCATTGCCAGTCTTGGCCTGTGGGTGCGGTCCCTGTCAGTCCACCTCATGCAGGGTTACTGTCTGTTTTGCTGCCCCTCTATTTTATCAAGCCTGATGTCTTGGGTCAACACTGGCCCCTCCTGATAACATGTGTAAAGTCTGTGGGACAAATCTTGTCATCTTGACTTCTAAGGACAGTGTGGTCCCCTGGTCATGTCTAAGCACGCTCTATGCTCTGAGCACAATTTCAGGGGTGGGGGTATCAAAACCCACCCATGCCTGATGCCATTGAGTCCGTCCTGGCTCATGGTGACCCTGTAAGTTCAGAACAGAGCTGTCCCGTTGAGAGTGTCCAAGAAGCTGTGCTGTAATCCCAAAGGCATATGGTTCAAATCCACCAGCTACTCCGTGGCCGAAGGATGGGCAGTCTCCTCCCACGTGATTAACTGGCTCTGAAAACCAACACGCAGGCACCTCCTCCAAGACAGGTTGGTTTGCACCCTGGCAATCCATGTTGTTGTTATGTGCCATCGAGTCACTTGCGACTCATAGAGACCCTAAGTACAATAACCCTAAACCCTGCTCTATCCTGTGCCATTCTTACTGTCTCTAACACACCTACTACTCTCATTACCCCAGTCACTCAATCAATCCCTCTCATGAAGCGTCTTCCTCTTTTGCACTGTCCCTCCAACCTCCCAAGCATGACGTCCATGGGATAGTCAATATTTTTCACCAAACCATAATTCAAAGGCATGAATTTTTCTTCACTCTTCCTTATTAATTATCCCGCTTCACATGCACGTGTTGTTAGGTGTCCTCAAGTCAAGAACGACTCATAGTGACTCTATGAGCAATAGATCTGGACCCTGTAGATGGGGGCACCAAAAATACCATGGCTTGGTCCAGGAACATCCTGCTTGTCAAAGTGACATCTGTGACCTTTAACACTTTTTTCCGGTTTGTTTTGGTTAATTTTTTTCCTCCTTGCCCTTTAACATTTTAAAGATAGTTAAATAAACTTTCAAATGATTTTTTTAAAAAATCCAACAACCCACCTATACTAATGACAATGTGGGTCTCTGGCTTAAAGAAACACACACATCAAGGTGAATCAAGGACCTGGGAGTAAAACCAAAGACTATAAACTCCATTAGAAAAAAGCCTGGAAGAACTCCAGGATCCCTAACCCACTGTATAAACAGTCTTTGAAGCATAATATAAACCCTTCAACTGGAAGAGAACAAAATAGATGAATGGCACCTTCTAAGAATTGAATCCCTATGCACATCAAAACCCATCTCTAACAGGGTAAAAAAGAAAGCTACAAACTGGGAATAAAATATTTGGTAATGACTTATCTTGTAAGGGACTCATATCTAAAATTTATAGAATACTCCAGCACCTCAACAAGAAAAAGTTAAACAGCTCAATCACAAAATGCACACAGAATCTGAAAAGATACTTCCCCCAAGAAGACATTCAGACAGCAAACAAGCACATGAAGAAATGTTCAAAATCGCTAGCTCTCATAGAGATGCAACTCAAAACAACTATGAGATATCATCTCACCCCAGCAACTATAGCAAAGTCCAAAAGAGCAGCAAACAAGAAATGTTGGCGAGGTTGTGGGGAGATATTCACTGCAGGTAGGAATGCAAAATAGTGCAATCCATCACTATGGAAGGCAGTTTGGCACTTTCTCAAAAAGTTGCAAATAAAAATACCATTTGACCGAACAATTCCACTACCAGGAAAAAAAAAATTTTGCTCTGCAAGAGAAAATGGACAATCTCTTTCTGGGCAGTTTACCTCCTGGAAATCTTGCTAGAGGGTTGGGGCTATTCCAACTCGCAATGAGTTGACTTTGTTTCTTAAGAAAAGTGCAACAATGAATGAATGGAAATCCAAAATCTCTATAAATGTTCACTAAAATTAACAAAATAAAATTTAAAAAAAGAAAAAAAAGCTATATATGATGGGGTATTATGGTTATCACAGGAGTCCAGAAATAAGGTTGCACATTGGAGTGTACTCGGGGCAGTGGGAGGGGTGTGGGGGAATTGTATACCAAAGAAGGAATTTTTCTTTTGCTTTTCAAGGAGAGGAGTAAACTGTTGGGGTGTGGGGGAGGGCTGGCCAGGGAGAAAAGTGCAACAATGAATGAATGAAAATCCAAAATCTCTGTAAATGTTCATGAAAATTAATAAATTTTTTTTTTTAAAAAAAGAAACACACACAGCAGTTTCTAAATGCTGCTGACCTCTCCAACTGGCCTTCAAACAGTATCTGGTCAATGTACCTTTCAAGGGCAGGCAGACAACACAAAGCGAGAAACCCAGCACGTGGTATAACGTCTGATCCTGCGCCAACAGCCCCTCGTACAAAGAGAAATTTCTCTTTCTGTTGAAGAGAACAATTGTCCCTGAAGAAAGGCGCTTCAGACTGAAGCCTCTGAAAGCACCGCACTCACCTGTTACCACGGACCCGTCGGACGCTGGCCCACTTCCTAAGTACTGGTAATCCGTGAAACTGAAGCTGCCAGAGCTATCCTCGCCGATAGACTGGGAGAGATCCTGAATATTTCCCATCTCCTGCAGGAATTCCTCAGACAGCGGGCTCTCCAGGTGGTCGGTTTCCAGAGGGGACAGGGGGCAAAGGGGGCTTTCCGTGTCCACCATCGTGGCCAGATGGTGCTGGTCACACCACTGAAGGGTGACCTGTGGGTGGAAAGAGAAGTGACCGGTCAAGCTGGAAAGCTGGAATGTGACTTTCTTTCCATGAAAACATTGCTCATGACCTAGAGTGTCACCGTCGGCCATGCCGCCTCTGGCCAGCAAGTGGAGAAATGGGCCTCTTAGAACCACTGGTGTTGAAGGGGCTGAGGTCAGTGGAGCGAGATCAGCGCGGACACCGGCCATGTCTGAGCACGCTCAGTGCTCCCAGGACGGTTTCAGCGGTGAGGGTGCTGGACCCCACCCAGGCCCATTGCTGTCGAGCCCATGTTGGCTCGTGGTGACCCTGTGAGGATAGAGCAGAGCTGCCCCACTGAGTGTCCACGGTGGTAATCCTGAAGGGAGTTGCGGAGCCCTAGTGGTAAGAAGCTGCACTGCAATTCCAGAGGCTTGGTTCGAATCCACCCGCTGCTCCATGCAAGTAGGACGGGCACTGTCCTCCATGTATTAAATGGCTCTGAAAACCCACTGGAGGGTCAGCTGTGGGTTGGTTCTGATTTCCCAGCACACCATG